ATACCACGTGCGTGGTGCTGTTGTTACTTGGCCACCTCTTTTTAAAAACCTAACAGTTCTAACTTGAACCATTCCTGCAAGCCACCAGCCATCAAGTCCAAGCTTTTCCAGACCAAAGCAAAGTCCAACAGGGCTCAACTGTGTGTCTGCAGGGGTTGTGCTGGTCTACACCATCACAAACCAATTCCAGTGGTAGCTCTATTGTTTCATCCTGCCTCCAGAACTTCTGCAGTATTTGAACCCTCAAGAGAGTATGTCTTGGTGTGGAACCTCCATTATTCAGCAAGTTACAAACTTCTGAGTGTCCGGAGTGAGGGGCCCACCCTGACCAATCCATCATTACCTACCAAGCTCCAGCACTGCCTTTAATCTTTGCCCACACTGAATGTGGTCAGCAGTGACATCACCGCAGGGCTCCTCATAAGAATGACTCAGATGTACATTAAGTCTAAGTGGCATTTGTTGCATGCTTCATACACACTGAACTTCTCAACTTTCAAGACACATTAGACTCTTCAGATCTCCATCTCTAGACAAAAGCTCTACCTTCAATGGCTTACCAGGTTTGTGCAATGTCATATACTATTGTACAGGCCCCTAAGCACAGGGCACGGTATACAAAAAGACCATAAATATTTGACTGGATGATCTAATCAACTTAATGGATGGGTTCACTTGGGGACTTGAGTCTCCAGTACTCAAGTTTGTTAGGAAGTTCAAAATACTAGAGGGAAAAACGGCGAGTGACATTGTCCAAAAAGAAATAGACTCTTCACCTGACCGATATAACTGTAACCTCTTTGTATATCACCTTTATGACAATTAAAAAAAAATTTAATAGCCCAGAATCCAAAGTGGACTTAGCTTTAACAGCAAGTAATTAGAAGTGTTGAAGCCATCCAGGTTTAAGGACGATTGTGGGAAGTGAGCTATGAGCTAAAGGATGGAAAAGACGGCATTAAAGGACATATTTAAGCTGGGCACCAGTGGCTCACGCCTGTAATCCTAGCTACTCAGGAGGCTGAGATCTGAGGATCACAGTCACAACCAGCCTGGGCAGGAAAATCCATGAGATTCTTGTCTCCATTAAACTACTCAGAAAAAGCCTGAAATGGTGCTGTGACTTAAGTGGTAAAGCACTAGCCTTAAGCACAGAGAAGCTCAGAATCAGAGCCTAGGCCCAGAGTTCAAGCTCTAGGACCAACAAAAAAAAAAAAAAAGGAAGGCGGGGGCTATTCATTTATATTTTTAGCACCTGTCCTGGGGCTTGAACGTAGAGCTGGGCACTGTCCCTGAGCTTTTCTGCTCAAGGTTAGCCTTCTACCACTTGAGCCATGCTCTATTTTTGGCTTTTTGGTGATGAATTGGAGATTGGAGTCTGGACCAGCTGGGGTCAAAAATTGATCCTCCAATCTCAGCCTCCTGAGTAGTTCCCTATTAAAGGACCTATTTTAGCAGGCAGTAGGGAAGAATCAATTAGTACCAAAGGAACTGCAAGGACATAAATCCATTTGGTCCAAGAGTTATCTTTACTTTTGGCAACTGAAGAAAAGAGATAAAAAAGAGAACAAGAAGAGCTAGGTGTGATGCAACATCCCAGAACTCCAAAAGTAGACTCAAAAGGATTACAAGTTCTCAGAAAACCTAGATATACAGCAAAATCCTGTCTCAAAATCCAAACCAAAACAAACAAAAAAAGACAATGTAGTCAGAAAGATAAAACACTGTGGAAAGACTATATCAAGCTAATTATCATATGCATTCTCAAACCATTTTGAGATAACACCAAATCTACTCAAATATTTCAAGAGTATGCTGTTAAATACAGTCAGCATGTTTAACAATACATCTCTTGAACTTATTCCTATCTCACTGAAATAATGTATCCTTTGACCAACATCTCTCCCTCCCCTCCCAATGCTCCCAATTCTCAATAAAGAAACTGAGGCTCAGAAAAGTCAGTGACTGGGCCAACATCCAAGGGCTAAAAAGCTGGATTCGATTCCTCAGCACCACATAAGCAAAAAGAAAAAAGCCGGAAGTGGCGCTATGGCTCAAGTGGTAGAGCACTAGCCTTGAGCTGAAGAGCTGAGGGACAGCGCTCAGGCCCAGAGTTCAGGCCCCACAACTGGACCCAAAAAAAAAAAAAAAAAGCTGGGAGAGGAAACACTGACGTGTCACTCAGACTGTCAGTGTGAATCTATCAACACTCTGGTGCTTTAAAAACTATGCAATGGCAACATTGCAGAGACATAGGTCACTTCAGTTTCCAGACCTGGTCTAAGGGCTGGAGAATCTTGAGTCCTCCAGGAATGCCCTTGAAAAGATTCGACTAAGATCATAAAATTGAAAGGCTAATCATATTTGGTACACAGTCACCAACAGCAGGTTAATAAATGACAGATTAGTAGTAGTAGAAATTAGTATGTCAGTTAGAGGCAATCAAAGAGGAAAGCAGTTGTTAGAGAGGTAAAATGGCTAGTGACTTCAGCACAGATTGGAGAGTACTGCATGCCTCAGTTTCTCTATTTTTATGACTGAAATAATACACCAGCAATCCCATCAGCAACCATACTAAAACACAAAACTCTTTAAGACCTATAGACAAATCTAGATGATCACATTTGCATTGAAATATATTTAAGATGCATGCCTTGGGACTAGGAATGTGGCTCAGTGGTAGAGTGCTTGCTCAGCATGCCTGAAGCCCTGGGTTCAAATCCTCAGCACCAAATACACAGATAAACCCAGAATTGGTGCTGTGGCTCAAGTGGTAGAGTGCTGCCTTGAGCACAGAGAGGCTCAGGGACGGTGCCCAGGCGCTGAGTTCCAAGTCCCAGGACTGGCCACAAAAAAAAAAAAAAAAAAAGTAAGCCTTGATGCCTTGATTTGCTGATAGTCAATCATGTCAACCCAAAAATTGAATTCATGGCAATGCATTTCTAACATGGTTAGAAATATCTAAAAACACAAGCAAAGCCACACATCAATTACAGTTTCTGAGTGGTGTTTATGTGTGTGCACACATGAGCGCATGCTAATACTAGGGCTTGAACTCAGGGCCTGGGCACTTGTCCCTTAGCCTTTTAGTTCCAGGTTGGTGCGCAACCATTTGAACCACAGCTCCATTTCAAGCTTTCAGTGGCTAATTGGGGGATAAGAATCTCATAGATCTTGCCTGGATTGTCTTTGAACCCTGACCTCAGCCTCCTGAGCAGCTAGCCTGAGCTAACTGAGCCTGAGTTGTTACTTAAGCTGAAAAACTGGGTGGGAAAATAATGTCTTGTTCATTTGACCTTTAATGATATATCCACCACACCCTAAAGCAAACTTTATGTGCAGGATGACGATATGTCTTTAAATAGCTTTAACTGTGATTGTGCCTGTCAAAGTGAGACAATCAAGAAAAAAATAGCATAATAAACCTCAGGTACTGAGGAACTTTGTTCCTCTCCCTGCCTCCTCCCTCCCCCCAAAAAAATCTGCACGTGGTATTGGTATTTCTTTCACTTTTCTGCTTTAGATGTGGCCTGAACATTATCTAGAGGTCATAAATCTATATTTTTCCAACTTCAACTTCAATTTAGAATTTGACCAAAGGTGGGAATGCACCATGTAAACTGGTTCTGTGAACACCGCCTCGTTCGCCCTCCATCTTTTCCCTGAAGATTTACTTATTTACTTTCGAAATTTTAGCCAAGCCTAAATTAAAAAAAGAAAGAAAGAAAGAAAGAAAAAGTGGAGATAGCTCTATAGCCTCAGATCGAAGATTAGAGTTGTTAATAGAATGTTGATCCCAGGAGTAATGCTCACAGCTGTGGCATCCAACAATGGAATTAACATTTCAACAGGAAGCAGGGAGCCATCCCCACAGACGGGGCCACTCGACCTGGCTTCTCAGCCTTTAAATTAAAAAAAAAAAAATCCTTCCGGAGGCTACACCACATGCCTCCCGGAGTCCTACCTACAGATCTTTTATTTTAAAAATGACTCAATCGCTTATAAAATGCCGCAAGTGCTTCTTTAGTGTGACAGGGGCGACCAGCTGGTTGGTTCCACACTGATGGGGGGGGGGGGGGACCAGTCTTCTAAATGTCAAAATGTTTATGCCTTCTACGGATCCACACATTTTTAGAATGCCTTCTTTCTCCCTCCCAGGGAACGCACACACAGCCACACAGACACACACGGAGAAATCCCGTACCAGGATGACCCCGCAACGAGTCCTTACTTGTAGATCATTATCTGCAAAAGGAACCAACTCATTCCCAATCCAAGCCCCACGCGCTGAGGTTTCCCACGGTCTCCTCCGTGACTCCCCGCCAGGGCCGGTCGCACCTCTGGGTCTGGGCTCGCGTGGCCCGTGAGACCCGGAACGTGGAAGCCTGGTGCGGGTTCCCACCCCAAGGCGTTCCTCGAGGGCGCCCGGACAATCCGAGCCGCGCCACCGCACCGCGTCCACGGAGGGCGTTCGCGATCCGGCCTCCCCGCTTCGACACCTGCAAACTCGCCGCCCCGGGCTCGGAAATCCAGTCCAAAGGCTGGCCGGGCACCACGAGGGGGCTCACCCGGAGCCGGCACCGAACAAAAACGAAGGGGAGCCGGGCCGGGGCAGAGACAGCCCGGGAGAGAGCTCGAGGTACCGCCGCGCGCGCCCCGCGCCACGCCCGGAGCCGCCCAGCCGCCGCAGCGCCCGGATCCCGGTGGGTCCCGGTGGAGCCGGTGGAGCCCGGATGCCCACGCCCCTCGGGCACCCCCGGCTCCCCGCCGCGGCTGCTGCCCGCAGGGGCGCTCCATCCTCCCGGCTCCCGCGCTCGCCCCCTCCGCCCCCGAAATCACCGCGATGCAGTAACTGCACCGCCGCCGCCACGGCCGCAGGACCCCCAAATCGCGCCCGTCCCCCTCCCCCCAGGTTCCATTGTTCCCGGGTGGCCGCGGGCAGCCAAGCGCCCCCGGGGCCTGGCTGGTGGGCGCGGAGGATCCCGGGGTCCGCTACTCACCCGCGACCCCACACAGGAGCACCAAGCCCAGCAGAAGCTCCATGGTGGCGGCCCGATTCTGGGCAGCGGCTGCAGGTAGGTAGCTGGGGATCCGGATCTCCCGGAGCTCCGCACACTCTCTCAGCCGTGTCCGGGCGGCGGCGGCGGCGGCGGCGGCACCTCTGCCTCCCCGCCCCTCCCCCGCGAGCCCCTCCCCCGCGCGCCCCGCCCCCGCCCCTGCTCGGCAGGTGAACTCGCGTCACTTCCGGCGCCAGGCTCGCAGGACCCATTGGTAAGTCCTGGCTGCACCCAGCCGCGCGGAGGAGGGGGGGGGGAGACGTTGCCATAACAACCAGGCGCGGCGCGTGCGCCGCTTCCGGGGACTCGGCAGCTTCGGTGGGCGCCGGGACGCCCTGGCTCCCACCCTTCTCCCTCAGCCTACGTTCGGGGCGCCGACCTTCACCCCGCTCATTAAAGCAGTATTGGGCCGGTCAGTCTTGGCACAACTGCAGTCCCGCCCTACCTTGGGGCGCGGGGCTGCCTGGCGGGGCGCGTGGGTCCCCGGAGGGGGAGCTGCGCTTCGGCACCGGACCCCGCCCCGCCCCGCCCCGCCCCGCCCCGGCCGGCCCACCCTGCAGGGTAGTGAAGGGTGAAGACCCCGCGACACGAGTCTGGCCTGGGGTGTTTTTACGGCCGAACATCGGGTTGTGCGGCTCTGGCCTCTAGGGTCTTCTCGTGATAGGAGCAGGCGCGAAAGAAGCTCTTCTACGTCCTCCCCCCCCCCCCCCCCCCCCCCCCCCGGCACCCTCCAGCTGCGGCTGTGGATTCGGGCAACAACTCCTCCCTCCATCGGTTTTGTCCCTCAGCCCCCTAGCCTTTGTAGGCGATTCCTGCCCTAAAAATGGCCTGTTAGGAACGGGAAGCTTGGAAATTGGGATTCGTTCAAAGATAAAAGGAATTCGATTGGAAGGGAGGTCCAGGAAATCGGAGTTCTAGTTGAAAGTCTCTTCAACCCTACATACAGCATGGCTTCCATCTCCTGGTGTCTGTCTTCCACGGCTGGTTCTTGCTTTTCCCAGTGAACGATTATTTGTAGATGCAGAGATATTTTGGATGGACCCAGTCAGGGACGAATTAGAGAAAAGAAGTCACACAGCTCTGTGGTAAGAATTTGGACTCTACGTGGCAAGTTATTTAGAGGTGGTATCTATGCCCACGGGGTTGAGATGAAAATCAGATGAGATAATGCATTGAAGAGATGCTTGGCACTTGGCCTGGCTCGCAGTAAGTTCTCAGTAAATGGAAGCTAATAAAGTAATATTGCAAAATTCAAAGAAGACCGGGCAGAGAAAATAAATTATCGGGAAGAATAGTAGCTCAGACATTTTTTTTTACCCTAGCCACACATTAAAATTATGTGGAGAAGTTTTTAAAAACACACACCACCTGAGCCTCACACCATAATTCTACTTTAAGTTCATTTGAGGGCAATTCTGTCTTAACTAAAAGGAGTGCAAGTATCAATGTGAGGCAATCGCTAGAAACTTTCTATTGAGGAAACAGGAATAATTACAAGTATGTAATGTTTAACTTTTATATTTCTATTATGCTTTATGAAATTCATTTAATAAAAAAGAATTTAACTGTATCCACCTCACAGATTTCGGAGAGCTTTATGTAGTGTGAACCCCTTTATAGTGGAAACCATTCGTTACATTGTTACCCTTGTTAGGTCCTACACCAGTAGAAATCAAATGCACTCTCCGGAGATCCCTCACAGTCCCTAACTAAAGTCCATTTTAGAAATTACCTAAAGTAATTTTCATATTATGCTGTTTCCTACCATTTTTTTTCTTATCCTCACATTTTTGCCTCTCTTACTTTGTTTCTAGAAAACTGGAAAGACACATACATTGTTGATCTCTGTCACTCTTGGAAGCAGAGCACATTGGAGGCATATCATTTAGTAGAGTCTCATGCATTTATGGAGTTGAATATTTTCTGTATCATGTTCATAGCATTATTTAAATATATAATAGCAAACCATTATGCTTTCCTATATCTTTTGAGAATATCTTTTATATTTTAAAAGGGTAAATTTTAAGCCAGGTGTGTTTTCCCAGTGTGAGGCCAGATGTGGCTACATAATGAGATTCTGTCTTGAAAAACAATCTGGTCTCAGTGGCCACACCTGTAATTCTAGCTTCTCAGGTGACTGAGATTTGACAATCCAGGTTCAAAACTAGCCCTGGCAGTGAAGTTAATCTCCAGTTAACCAACAGAAAAGCTGGACTGGAGATGTAGCTGAAATGGCAGACTTCCACCCATGAGCAAAAAAGTTGTGTGAGACCTCAAGGCCGGTCCCCACACACAAAAAAATGAAATATATTTCAGCACATTAATATTTTATGCTTCTTAGATGACTAAATATAAGTTCCTAAAGAGATAGTCTTATAAAATTTAGGTAATTGTGAAAGTCTTATTATTCAAAAAGTTGTATGAAGTCATCTTTAGACTTTGGTTCATGACTAAAAAAAAATAGCTTAAATGCAAGTAACTGAAGTCTACTGACACCTTAAAAAGACTTTCTGTTTCTTGCCAACTTGGAGATTATGTCTCCTGGAAGCTGTAATGAGATTATCTCCTTAATTTCAGAGCATGCAATTTATTCATTGTATTGGGTATTCAATCCAAACCATTAACTTGTCCTATCACAGTACAGCACCAAACACTCCATATTGTGTAGCCTCTAAACCAACAGAGGTGATTCTTGGCCGATCAGGAAGGTACTTATTAGACAGACATAAATAACTCTGTGGTTAATAAAGTGTCTATCCCTACACAAACTTCTCAGCAGTAATGGATCTGTCAACGTACCCACAGGTAATTAAAATTAATCACATTCCAAGGTAAGATATACTTAAGAATGAAAGGATTTCTACCCCTACCTAGCCTATAATAGGTAAACGTATGAAGAAACTAGCTACACACATGACTTTTTCTTTAATTTATAGAAATATAAAGTGATGGGCTGGGAAGGTGGCTCAGTAGTAGAGTGCTTGCCTTGCTTGCATGAGGCCCTGGTTCAATTCCTCAGCACCACGTAAGCAGAAAAACCCAGACGTAGTACTGTGGATCAAATGGTAGAGCACTAGCCTTGAGCTGAAGAGTTCAGGGACAGCTCCCAGGCACAGGGGGTGGCTAGGAAATTCTAACATTTCCAACTCAAAAACCCCATCCAAGTCATGGCACCATATGTAAGATTTATAAAATAGGTAGATTTCATTAGGTAGCTGATGAAGAGAACACCATGCGCTATTCAGGCAGGAAAAGACGTTTATTTACTGAACTGCTGCCCCCACCATGCATGGTGGAGAGGCATAGCTTGAAAAGGAAGGTGAGAACTACCCCTAGGCCAGGGGTTATCTAGGCCAGGGACAGGAAGAGGTGTGGTCACACTGGATCTGGATGTGACCTCAGGGTCTAGAACCCTCTTAAGGTCAGATGGGAGGCATGTGACCAGAGGTGGCCCAGGATGTGACCTAGCAGGTCTTCTAGGTCTGCCAGTTATCTAGGTAACAGATACGGGGCAGAAACTTAGCCAAGAGGTATGGAGATGACCCTGTGCAGACCTCACACTCAGGACTGACAAAAAAAGAAAAGAAAAAGAAGAAATATAAAGGGATAATAAGGGATCTAGATAATGCTCTCATTACTGTGTTGAATTTACCTTACTAAAACCTTACTTTTGTGAATAATATCACCCAAAAGCAACTTAGTAACTCCCTAAACAATTATTTTGCAAATGTATACGAGTATATGGCTGGGAATATGGCTTAGTTGGCTCAGTGGTAGAGTGCTTGCCTAGCATGCATGAGGCCCTGGATTCCTCAGAACCACATAAACAGAAAAGGCTGTGGGTGTCACTGTGGCTCAAGTGCTAGTGTGCTAGGCTTGAGCACAGAAGACTCAAGGATAAGCTCTGAGTTCAAGCCCCAGGACTGGCAAAAATAATTTTTTTAAAAAATATGTGCACGTATAGTTTTATGTATGAATGTTATATTCACAAATCAGTCCTTAGCTAACGAAGATTTTTTTTTTACATTTTTAATATAATTTTACTGCTACTATTAAGGTGTTGTACAGAGTGAAGCAGATTTTTAATATATTCCTAATATAAAGATTCCTAAAATAAGAAGTGATCAATTTACACAGACCAAAATTTAGCCTTTTAAAATGTTTTTATCAAGGAATAACCTATGTCTACTTGCTTCTTTCTCTTTATTTTGGACTTTACCACTACCATCTAATTTCTTGCCATCATGGTTTTCTGTTCAAAACTTAAATAGGATAGAAAAGAAAAAGAATATAGAAAGTTCTGGACTTATTACATTTTTATTGTGGACTCAGATCAGATCAGTTTGGGTGAGGAACCCAAAACAAACATGATTTGAACATGAAATGCCTCTCTCTGCATGGAATGCTTGCTCCCCAGTTGGTGGTCCTATTTTGGGAAGTTTGGAAAATAGGAGGTCGGGATTGGCTGAGGGAAGTAGGTCACTGGTGATGTGCCTTCCAAGGTTATACTTGGTCCCTCAGTCCTTCCAATCTCTGCTTCCTCTCCACCATGAGTGTGTAGCTCTGCCACGTGCTTTGTTTTACCATGATGCTCTGCTTTACCATGAGCCCAGAACCAGTGGAGCCCAGGACTATGGACTGAAACTTCCACAACATTGATCTGAAGTAAACATTTCCTCCTTTTAAGTAGTTCATGACTAGGATTCTATCAGAGTGGTGAGAAGTACAACGCATACCATTAATTTTAGAAAGGACACTAATCTCCAATGCTTAGTGTAAACATGGGATGAAGAGCATTCTAGAAATATGTCTGGGAAGGAGTGTAAATATTAGTTGTAGTGTCAACATTAATGTTCTTTTTTTTTTCAGTGCTATCGGATTGAATGTAGACCCAGTTACATGCTAAGAAAACACACTACCACAGAACTGCATTCTCAACTCTGTTTACTGTAATTTGGTGAAGTTTTCATAGGATGCAGGTGAATGCTTGTTTTTAATTCACCACCTGTTTTCAGGGTTTTTCCCTCCATTCTATTGAGATATCCCCATGCACATCTAAAATTTCAAAGTCTAAAGAAAATGAACATTTTACTT